CCTCCTTCCACCCAACTTAGTTACTTTTCAATACTTATCGCGCTATCCCACCCTGTTGAGTGATTGTGTGTCAGTGCGTGCAGAGCTATAACCGAGCTCTTCTCTAAATTTCTTATCTTGTTAGGATCTACTAATCCTGACTTAGCTAAGTTCCTGTGTTCTGTTATCCCTATTGACCCTGGTTGGTCGACTACTGTGACCTATGTATTTGACCTCGCAGTCATTGTAATGAATTTTGGTGAATCAAATTATTCAGCCTAATTGAATTAGTAGAATCTTTTAACCCACAAAGCTTGTTTCTAAGCGAGTTTCTTGGTTTAAATACCACTGCAATCCCAGCCAGCTTTATTGAGGATTCTTTGTAATGCTGCTGAGGTGTAAAGCAATCAGGCAAGTCAGTTGACGAGTTTGTGAACCTTCAATGCCTGAGAGTCCTAAGCTCAGTAGGAGTAAATGTGCTAGATAAAGGTCTTAACTTATCTGACTGAGATATGGCACTTATCAATGAATTATTTGGCTGCTGGTCTGAACAATATGAGCAGGTGTAAATTGCCTGGCGAGGGTTCTCAAGATGATAGGAACTAACGTTTGCAGACTACGTGATTATGGCTCAAGTTAAGACACAGAAGCGTTGTTGTATTCACCTTTTTATTTTCTTTGAAGTCTCGTCATCATCAAGATCAACATAGTACCAGCCAGGCATTACTGCGTAACGGTCCAAGTTGCTACACCTCATATCAGCGCATCAAGCAACAAAGTAATAAAATGGAAGATGAGAGGAAGATAAAAATCAGTCAAAAGAAGTAGAAGTAGAAAGTAGTAACAGAGAGGATAACTTTAAGCATTGCCTTTAAGATGAAGATATTGTGTGTATGCATCTGCACCACTGACTTCGATTCTCAGCCATATCACCTAGAGACTCCAGCCACTAGTATCTGTTATCACGCGGACCCCAACTGACTGGTCTCTATCGCTCTACATGGTTCAAACGAACAGAAAAAGGCTTCATGCATTGATGCCGTGTTTTAGTCTGGCTACCCTGAGCCTTTTTCCATTCTGAACCTACTTCCGCCAATGTTGAGCAGCGAGGCAGATGATGGTTAGGCATATGTTGTAACACAATTGCATCAACTGATTTACCTCTCCTGCCTAAAACTCTACACTTGACTTCTACGTTACTCATGTGGTGACACCATGAAACACGACCTACGCTGCGAAGACGAGGATGGTCAAACACCGGAAGTCTTCTCTTGTCTTCTAACTTTAATTTTCATGATTCATAGCACAAGAGTAGGACAAAGCGGACTACATCACAGCACGCTCATCCCATAATAGACAACCGGATATCTCAGTGACACCACAAATGGCACAATGTTGCAAAAGCCAAACGAGCCTGTGTATCCGTGCAGAGATTCCGTTGGCCACTGACCTACGCACCAGGACTGATCCGACTTACCAGGTAGTTAAAGTGTTCAGCACTCTATTGCTAGTCAGGGTACTATTGAAGACCAGTTCTAGAGCAACAACTTGCATTCAGATGGCGATATACGCATTCCAAGCATTCTTGAATTATTGTTTTAGGTGTCCACAAGACCTTGCATCTCGTCAGCGTCTTCACCTAACAGGACTATGTCATCTGCGTATTCTATGTGTATCAAAAGTCTCATGTGATCAGGTCAATCCCTGTGTAGTCAGGTGACGAGAGGGAGACCTGCATAAGAACGTGTATGATAAAAATGAATAGGAATAGAGAGGTGGGTATCCTCGACGGATACCAATCAAAGTATACAACTCACCTGACATCTCACCATAGACACTCTAACACGCCCACTGGTATTCGAGTATACATCCGTCAGTAAAGTGATGTACTAACTCGGTCCCCTTTTTAATGAGGGAAATTGCCATAAGAATTCTCGATCGATGGAGTCGAATGCCGCCGCCTTCAGGTTGAGAAATGCAGCTATTGTCGGGCGTTGGTAAGCGTACCTGTGTTCCACAACCTGGTGGAGTGTGAACACTTGGTCGATACACCCACCCACGGCCAGGTCTAAATCTTGTCTATTTTTTTCGGGCTTTCTGTTCCTGAGCTCCACTTAGACATCTGTGGTTATCACAAGTGGACTTCTCGCCTTTCTTGAAGACTGGAATAATCAGTGATTGAGACTAGATCACATTTGACTCGCATACACTAGTTAACACTTCGGTTGACTTGACTAAAATCTCTCTACGACCGTCCTTACATATCTGAGCGACTAGTTTGTTTGGTCCTGCTTTCTTTCCTCATTTCAAGTTAGCCACCGCTTTATCAACGTATTTTTATTTTTTCGCTATGCTTATAAACATGTTTTTTCAATTTTTATGTTTTTCACTTTCTAACGACTGCTGCACATACTGTTGAAAATTATGATAACTTTAACTGATCAGCTTTTGTGAAAGATTCCGCTTGGATCTTTTCAGCTCCTCGACTGAATTTTCGCATTATTTTTATCCTAACTTCAAGTTTTTCAGATTAGTTGTATATTTAGTTTACTATCAGTCGATAAGATAACTCTAATGTATTGTCTTTTCGCCAGGTACAGACCGTTCACATGGGTCATTAGTTGCTGCTAACCTAAATCTCCAAAAAGACAGACAGAATCAATGTAGAACCTCACTCGCAAGGGTATCGGCACCAGTTGCCACACTATACCGTGGTAGTATTTAAATAAAAAGTGGATAGAAAAACAGTGATATCAGAGTAGACAAGGTTGTGTGAAAGAATAAACAAACAAGAAATAATGGTTAGTGCAAATATCTAAGGTTAAGAGGATGTTAAAGAGTGAAAATATCTTCTCCCGTGTCACCGATTTTCAGCCATGTCGCCAGGAGTCCCTAACCTGGCAGTCTACATCTTCCCACACGACTCAGACAGGCAATAAGAGAGTTGTTCAACTGGTGCCACGTCCTTGTTTGGTCACCCTGAAAGCCTTCCAACGTAATCCAACTTCCCCCAGTTTGGTACGTCGAGGTAGGCATGCAATGTGCATTACACGTCCAAGCCATTACAGTCGAATAAGGTTCACAACTTCATGAATTGACTTACCTGTCTCGCCTAATATTCTTCGCCTGAGCTCAATATTGCTCATAGGATGATTTCTCCAAACGGGAAAAAGCTGCGATCAAAACCCTATAATCGCTTCATATCTTCTACTTTACATGGCCATGTCTCATAGTCATTTAACAAGGGAGAACGGACTGTAGCACAGTATCCTCGTATTTTGGTAGGTAGTTGAATATCTCGCCGATCGGAGCCATACATGATGCAAGTTTGCGTACGCCAAATTCAAAAAATCATATTAGTCATTGTAAACTAACTGATGGTCGACAAAACATCAGAGTAGGTATAAAATGCTTCGTTTTCATTTGATTTCCTGTATCATTACATTACCTATGGTAGATACCATGGAAATGATTCTAGGACCTACTGATTACCGCAGTGTACCACACAGCTAAAGCATTCTCTTGTTCTTTATATGATCTACATGATATCATTAAAGTCGGAAAACGTAACGGTTGCTGCGAAGGAAAAATTTTCTTTCCGACAAAGTTATTTACTACTAAGCTGTACATTCGTGAATATATTTTTCAGTTGGTAGAACATTCCAGAGTTACTTCCGGTCCGTCTGTCAAAACATACTGAATAACGAAAAAAATTTGCATAACACAAATTAGAGTTTAGAGTAGGAAATAAAATTTGATGACCATGTCAAAGATAAAGGTCAAAGTTACTGATTTTGGACACAGCACTGGTTTGAACTTCTTGAGCTAGCGCTACAGCTATACTGAAATGCCTTGATCGCACTCCCTTCGAGTGACTTGATCGAAGCTTGTAAAGGATTTCGAAAGAGTTCTCAAAGTGTTCTGTCATTTAGCTGATGGTACATTTTTCTTCTCCTCTCGCTAACCTGGCTGGATAGCGTCACCGAACACATTTTACAGCTCAGCACATGGTGTAGTGGGCGTTGCTGAAAACAATGGATATAAGTAGTATGTATTGAGAGGGTGGCAGGAATCATAGGGAATTACCAGCAATGGGTAAGGTTTCTGCCAAGAGCAACGCAAGAGATAACGCAGGCGTATCACAGTGGATGCTGTTGATAAGAGTGTACGAAGAGCAAATGAAGAGAGAGACAGAAGAGGAAATGAAGCAGATTTGCAAATTACAGGTTTAGTGCAGGGTGTACAATATGTAACGACTACCGTCCCACGCCGTCATACGCTGCTATCGCTCTACACCTCAGCAACGTGCCTTGCAGCACGACCTCCGCCCCTGGACCTCGGACCCCGACAGCTCTGCTACCAACTCAAAGTCCCTGAGGAAGACGAAAGGAATGTTGACCATCCACAATTGGAACGGTAGTCGTTACATATTGTACACCTTGCACTAAACCTGTAATTTGCAAATCTGCTTCATTTCCTCTTCTGTTTCTTTCTTCATTTGCTCTTCGTACATTCTTATCAACAGCATCCACTGTAATACGCCTGCGTTATCTCTTGCGTTGCTCTTGGCAGAAACCTTACCCATTGCTGGTAATTCCCTATGATTCCTGCCACCCTCTCAATACATACTACTTATATCCATTGTTATCAGCAACGCCCACTACTATGGTACGACCGATGTACTCAGCTCCACACATTAACCAGAAATTTTCTTGCAATAGAAAATGATTCTGTCATTTGAAGCGATGGGTAATGGGTTCATGTCTCAATGCGAACACGATTATTCACTCGGATGACGAAATGAAAACCACCAGCTATATTGAGGCACCAACACAGGAGCTCAGAGGCCAACATACGCCGATCATTTTTGGTTCGAACCAATCACCAACGAGCAATGGTTTCGAGATTATTTCAAAATCACAAAGAATCTAATCTAACTGATTCAAAAAATTTTCCATGCTTTTAAAAGTGATGTATCCTGGAAAAAATATGATTTTTTTTTCACTTTTTTTCAATCTTAGAGTACAGCGAATGTTTCAGTACATGAATTTACTGTCCAACCAACTTCAGCAGTCTGTGATGGAAGTGTAACAAACTTAGATGGAACAGTATTATCAACAACTGAACACTTTTTCCCTGCAGATAATGTACCTGTAAATCAGTCAAACATTCCAACCAGTGGATCGATTATGACAGTGAATTTCCCGGCTTATCTAAGTGGTAATGCTACTAATGCACCTGTTAATTTTGTTCCTGGTATACTAGCAACAACAACAACAACACCAACTGTTCTTGGTTCAGGTTTATCAAGAAGACATCCTAACCATTCAGTGTCTGAGGTTTGTTAATTTCACATAGATACCTAATGTTTATGTGATTCATTTAACTAGTGTCCACAGTGTTTTGTTTATTTAGAGATTTTACAAGATGCTAAGAAATATAGACTATGAAATGGTGGCGAATATTTATAGCTCAAATGGATGATTTTGGTTGTATTGTCTTCTCTGAGCTGGGTATGACTTCATACTGAAGTTAGTACTGATGATGTCGTCTAGCAAGACGATAAAATCTCCACAATTGAACAACCCAGCTTAAAGAACACAATATAACCAAAATACAGACTATGAAAAACGATAAAGTACTTCATATTGCCGCTTAAGTTCACGTGAGATTTCTTTTGGTAACTTGACCTTATTTCGGTAAAAATCTAGGCAATACTGAGAAAACCTTTATCGTCCTACAAAAATACACCGTCAACGCCATAATTCAGTTCTACCGAATTCATCATCATCATTATCAACATAGAACCAGCCATTACTGCTTAACGGTCCGAGTTGCCACACCTCATATCAGCACATCAAGTAAAAAGGTAGTGAGGCGAAGGATGAAGATAAGTGAATGCAGTCAAAAGAAATATAAAGTACGAGAAGAAAGGAAAGAGGAGTGACAAAATAGTGAGATTCGGTATAGCGTTGTTAAGATGAGGATAATGTGTGTATACATCTGCGCCACTGACTTCGGTTCTCACCCATATCACCTAGGGTCTCCAACCACTGGTTCCTCTTGTCCCGTGGACCCCAACCACCTAGTCTGCATCGTCCTACGTGGCTTAAACCAACAGTCAGAGACTTCATACATTGGTGCCATGTTTTAGTCTGGCCACCTCGAGCCTTTTTCCAGCCTGGACCCACCTCAGCCAACCTACCGAATTACAATCTAACTGTTGACAATCCATGATATACATTGAATATTCCCATTTAGACATTTAGAAAAAGACTGAATTGAACGAAGAAATGTATAAACCTTTTCAATTAGGTCCGTCTTCATCTTGGGCTCTACACTAATATGCATAATTTTACAATTTAATCAAATTACCAATCATGCGGTGGTGTTTCGGAAATAATGATGCAAATAATCAATAGAGTTACTAAAATTGGAAATATGAATATTGATAGAAACAAGGGAAAGGGGAAGATGTGTACAAAGTAAACCTAGAAGTTACATCATGTTGACGGCCACGGTAATGAAAGTGGTCGAACAAACTTGTTTTGGATACAAAGGCTAGGTATGTTTGTAAATATGGATTGCAATCACCTCTGCTATGTGAAGTAACCGAGTGCGTAATCCACGAGGTAAATTAATGGATAATTTTGGAGGCTTTTCTAGTAACCACTTGATGTCCTCTGTCAACTAAGTGTGCAAGTATGGAGCTCTTTATAGTTCTAATTTATCCCTTGTTCAACCATGATGGGTGGTGCTCAGAAATTCGACGATGGGACTGCCTCATTGTACGCCCAATGAAACTCGCTCCACAGGAGCAGTTGAATTGACAAATGCATATAGAAGTGGTGGAATCAGGTAGTTTGTCTTTATTTCTTGCACCTAGAATCGGGCGGTTGTAGAAGGCGGGACATAATTTAGAGGATGAGAATGGTTTATGCACGACTCTTTTTATACGTTGTGTGATGATCTCACTGGCAATATCACTCTTAAATTCCAGCTTCAAGAAGATTGATTTCTTAGGAACTGTTGTCACTGTTGTCTTAACCCTCGTAATATTCATGGGCTTGGTTACAAACTTGTCTGAGTAGCCATTCCTACTAAGCAGACCACGGATGGTGGTGCACTCTTCCTTTATAGCATCATTTGAGCAAATAGCTGTGGCACGGTATGCTAAGCATTTCACTAGGTTCCTTTTGTATTGGAGGGGTTACACGGTCAACACGTTACCATGGAGTCACTTCTTCTGTTAGTTTATAATACAACGTGACCTTCATCTGTTCCCATCGACTATCGACTATGGTGAATTCTGCATAAGGACATTTCATTATCCTGATGGATGGATGGATGGATGGAGGCCACACTACATCGTGAACTGACAGAAGTAGAAAATGAGGTCCTGACTCAATGGTAACATGCTGACCACGGGACCTTGAAGGTCCTGGTTTCGATCACTTGCGGAATGGAGCGGGGGCTCATGGGTGCGTGCGCACTGCTGAGAATTCATAATATGCCACTATATAACCTTCACTGCTAAAATAGACAGAAAACATATCGAACATCAATAATGTTTGAAGTACAATGTGTAATTTGGGTTGCTTTATCTAATAAAGGTAAATCAGGTAGTGAATCGAAAGAGAAAAGCACTACAACAGACAAGAGGAGATATGTCATCATTAAGCTGAGCAATTGACTATGCACTTATGGACTGGATAACATGAAATTGATTACTCTCTAGTAACCAATTACTTCGCTGAATTCAATGTTACAAGAGATTATTTGTGGCATGAATAACTCATTAATAACGTGATGCATAATGCAGGTTGGAATCTTTGAGAAGACATGAATCCCCTTGAGTTTACACTTACACCTTGCTAATGTTGCCAAGAAGCACAAAATCTACCTAGATCAACTAGGCTTTCTTATCTATCATTTACAACCAACTGACGTGAATAAATGTTCTTCAAGAATCTGGAGGTGATTAAGAATAAATATGTTTTCACCATCGTTGTGATTGATTTTCAAAGGTATCACCAAAGTTTTCATCTGATATTAATCAAACTCACAGATACTGATACAACACTTTACCCTTACAAGTTAACTCACTTCACATTGGTACATTTAAGTGGAAGTTATCAATAGGAAAAGTCAGCGATATATTACTGTATTATTATTATTTGTCCCTTGGGTTCCTAATGGAACATAGGACTTCACTAGCACGTCTCCAGTGCACTCTGTTCTCTGCAAACTTTCGAACCTGATTCCACGACAGCCCAGAAGCTCTCATTTCTTCTTCACACGATCTCCTCCATGTCATCCTCATCTGGGACGCCCAACTCATCGTTTTCTATCTGGGTTCCACTCGAGTGCCTGGCGTGGCGCGTGATGTCCCTAGTCGGCCTTCTCTGTGGATGCCCAATCCATCTCCCCTTCCTTCTGCATATTTGTTGAGTGTTAGGTTCTTGGTTGGTTCGTTTCCAGAGTTCCTTGTTGCTTATTCTTTCTGGCCATATGATCTTCAGTATCGAGCAAGTGTAGACGGCAGTTGTTAATGAATGTCTGTAATTTGTTAGAAATGCTTTTCGTAACGCGCCAAGTCTCTGAACCATACAGAAGCACTGATTTGACGTTGGTGTTGAAAATCCGGATGTTGTTCCACATGCTGAGTGCAGAAGTTTTCCACACTGGTTTCAGGCCAATGAACGCCTGTCTTGCTATCTTTCCGATCCTGGCTGGCTTCGACGTCCTCGTCTGTGTCGCCACTTGTAGTTGAAACGGTACTGCCTAGATAGGTGAAAGAGACTACTTCCTTTAGATTTCTCTCGTTGATGGTGATTGGTGCTTGCTGTCGATGCTGCCGTTGGTTAAGTATCTTCATCACCTCTGTCTTCTCTATATTCACTTGATTTCCCGTCTCCCTTCCCTGCCTCACCTCTTCTGTCAACTCGTTAGTTTTTGCTGGCGAAATCCAAATCTTCTAAGATCTTTTCCCGGTCCAGCCAACGTATCCCCCTCTTCTCGCTCCTCACTGTTTGTTGCATGATCCACTCCACTACAATCAGGAATATCATGGGTGATGGTAGACAGCCGTGTTTTACTCCTGTCTTCACTTCAAAGGCATCATTGAGCTTCCCATTGTGAATTACTTGGCATGTGGCGGACTTGATGGTGCGGACACTCCATGTCCCCACATTTACTTTCGCTTTCACCGAGAGAAGACACATTAGCAAGTTGGCTTCCTGAAGGCTTTCACCAACCGGCGTCCTTTCGCCTCTCCGATCCCAGCGAGGAATAAGTATGTTTTTATTTTTCATACTTTGTTTGTGCTTTGAAGTTTCTTTAGTAGTTGAATTGATTTTACGGGGTAGGATTGCTAGCCCTATGCACAACCTTCCCTCTTTACCCGGACTTAAGACCGGCTAGTAAATAGTGAACTAGTTAACCAGGCGAGGTGAAATTCAGTCACTGTGTCTGTTACTACGATTTATAAAGGGAGATAAAATATGCATGAATCAGTACTATTGTGGTTGATTCGCAGTTACAGCTCTTCTGATCTTCTATATCCCTGACTGTTGATCTAAGGCGTGTTGGGAGGCGTGTAAACCACGTGGTTCAGGTTCATGAGATGAAAGGAACCAGGGGTTGAAAACTCCTGGTGACAATGGCGTAGATGTTTTCACTGCTTGACAAATTCTAAAGCTTGAATAGTTGCACTAACCGTGGCATCTGGCTCCCATGCACTTGCGAGAGAGGTTCTGCGATGATTCTGTCTGTTTCTCTAGGTATCTTAGTCTAATCATCCTTAATCTACTTTTCAACCTAATCCTACTCCATCTAACAAACAGCTATAAAAACTTATTACTTACTTGGTCAAAGTTCTTGTCTCTTGATCAAACGAGACTTTTGTATTCGTGTGGGGATTTTGTCGGTTAACTGACCCACCAGGTCTGATTCATCCTCTCAATTATATGAAGTGGTAAACGCATTTAATCATTTCACTCTCTATTGTTAGACAGGACACCATTGAACGCCATTTCCGGGGCGAAAAATTCACAAGCATTCTCAAATTGCCACTCATTGTAGCCAGAAGACTCTGCATCTTGTCTGGATCTTCACCGAACTGAAATGTGTCATGTGTGCAGTCTACACCTACACAAAGGATTCTCCTGTGATAAAATTAATCCCTGTAGAATCAGATGACGAAAGAGAGACGTCCATAGGCGGCAGGTTTACGACAAAATAAATCAGGATGAAGAGTGTGGAGATCCTTGGGAAATACTACTCAATGTAAACAACTCACAGTAGGCTGTAACACTCCCACGTATTTTCCGAATGCAGGGTGTTCAATGGGATGATGTACTTATCCCGTTACCCCTTCCAATCGGAGACAGTCCCATAAAACCTCTTGATCTACAGAGTGGAATACACTCTTCAGGTCAAGGAGTACATCTGGTGTTGAGTGCCGCTAAATTTGCCTATGTTCCAAGGCCTTGTGAAGGGTGATGAATGCACTCCCAATACGATCTGGAACGTGTCTGGTTTTTCGCGTTTCCTGTTTTCGAGCTCCACTTTGATAATTGTAGAACCTTGAATTGAAAACGCCATTTTCATCATATTGTGATTCCCCTGTGATCATTAAAGAAAGATTTTTCTCCTTCAAAACTTGGATATTCAGAAAGAGTCATACCTAATTCATGTACACTAGCCAACAATTCAGTGAATTTTATCTGGCTGTGTTATCCTTTCCAGTTTTGAGTTACTTACCGCCCTATCAATTTCTACAACAGTTGGGGGAGCCTGTCTTAATGTCCAGTCAATGATTTGACTGGATAGCTGACAATAGATGGGGTCTAAGTAGAAGTTGGAGTGCATATGAAGTATTCTACAGTATGCAACCACAGGTCAACATTTCATTGATGTCAGTTCGGGAAATATTTCAACTCTGAGCTATCTCACTCAGATAGTCAATAGGATAATCAATATGATACTCCCCCTCCCTGAGTCAAGTAGGTTTCAGTTTGGATAAGAAGTCTTCGTTGGGTTGTCAGTATGAATATGACCAAGCGATAGTAAAATGTCATGGGACAAAACTCTTGGTGATTCAAGTGAAATAAAAATCTGATGGTTAGCAGTCAGGTCTCGTGGCTCAGTTTGTATAGTAGCGGATCGGAAACCCGGTGGTCGCTGGTTCAAATCCTACCATATCCCAATTCCCTATTTCACCTCCAATCATCACCCAGTATTAACATATAATCAAAACTGTCATTATACACTCACGTCTTCTGAAAACTTATGTGAATATTTTTGTGCGTATGTAGGAAGCGCTGAGTTTCTCACCTAATCACTTAATGTTCTTATTACTTGTGTGTAATATCATTCTTCTTATAGTCACTTCTGTGAGTACGAACGTTGCGTTTAATATAGTAGTACTATTATTTTCAAGGAGGTACAGTAATTTGGTAAAGCATCTAAGCATCAGCCGAATAGTGGAAGAGCAACTGTTTCTCTAACATTTGTGTGTACCTAGCAATAATCCACGTTTATTGTTATGAGGGCATATTGCTCCACCTAGCTTAGCAAACTTAGGTAGGTTAGGTGGGGTTCGAACCCTTACCCCCAACGGTTAAAAATCTACCACCTAGATTATTGAGCCATAGCTTCACTAATGAGCAAGTGGTTTGTTCGAGATTGTTACCGTTATGCACCTACAGTGATCCATTTGACAATGTTAGTAACTAAAAAGTGTCCACTTTAAGAAGATATCCCATATACCGTTCGTGAAATTTGTTCACTTGATGTCAGTTCATGATAAAAAAAACCCTTACTTGTGTTGTGTAGCATTCACTTTTCAAGCAGTTAAAATCAATCAACAAGAACCAAGTTGTGTGGTTTTCTGTACTCATCAACCTCAACTTGTATCACATAACACTGCTGTCGCATACGGTCCGTTTTCGATGAAAATGATATTTTGTGCAACGGAACCCGGTGCAGCGATCAGTCATTTGAGATGAGCTAAGTCTTTTCAGGTTGATATTTATCATGAACCATTAGGAACCTGGAAGCGGTGTGCACCCATGATTCTAACCCGCTGGGGGTCGAACCTATGACCTTCGGGTTCTTTGACCAACACATTACCATTGAGCCCCATTGGGTTGTAATCCATTCCTGGGGACTTCCGTGTTAGGACAGAACAGCCTGCCGCTCCCCCCAGTTTTTTCAATAATTCCTCAATTTTTGTTTATCTCTATGTGCTAAGCAAATGTTATCGTTCAATGTGGTTTTCATATTTTGTGGGATATCTATCTAAATTCTAGAATGTCAGTCTACGACGTACCACATCCGATGCCAGCTTAGAATCACGTTTCACTTCAATCACTGGTGTAGATCCTAGTTACGCTGGTATTGATATATTGGACGATGAAATTAAAGCTGATATACAGATGCTTGTACGAAAAGAAATCTCTAGACCACAATACAAAAAAGATTTCTTTTACACTGGTTCAATACGTCAGATGGATCCAGCTAAAATGGCTATTAATCATAAGTTAAGTATTAATTTGCCTATAGTATCAAATGTAGAGAGACCAAATCGTTCTACAGCATCATTTCGTCTACCAGCTGGACATTTTCAATCAGATATCAGACCAGAGGTATGTTCCACTTCTAATCTCTGTAAAAAATACTATTGAATTTCTTGAGTTGATATATATATATATATATATATATATATATATATATATATATATATTCCCTTGGGTTCCTAGTGGAACATAGGGCTTCAGAAGCACGCCTCCATTGGACTCTGTTCTCTGTAGTCTTTTGAACCTGGCGCCACGACTGCCCACAAGCTCTCATTTCTTCCCCACACGATCTCCTCCATGTCGCCCGCAGCTGGGATGCCCAACTCATCGTTTCTCCTTCGGATTCCACTCGAGTGCTTGGCGCTCGATGTCTCCAATCGGCCTTCTCAGGCTGATGTTTAAATATTGTATTCGCCTACATTATGCGTACATCAATGTCCGCATCTCCGGTCAAATAGGCCAACAACCTTCTCTGATCAAAGCTCTAGCAACTTAGGCCATAGATGTGTTCTTCAATTTTCAATGACTTCTCTATTTATCATTATATAATGTATGTAAAGTCTTTGTTCTTGCTTTTCCAAATTTACTAAGGTATTAGTCGCAAGTAATTTTCACAATAACATTTAAACTACTTATAAGTAGTACAATGTTCAAACAGATTTAAATGCGTGATTTTGTTGTGCAGGCTGTTTTGCAAAGTATGTATTTGTGATTCACTAACTGCATGAGAAATACGTATCTCATGTCATGGACTGCATATTTGTGCTCCTGAATTTCATTGATATACGAAGGATGTTAAGAGGTGCAGCACTTGATTGTTTAAAACTGTGAATACATTTCAACTTCTAAAATTTACAAATGACTGAAGCACACATATTATTCAACAATATATGAAAGGCATTGTGGTGCTCGCTACTTATGAAATCGTATCTGTCAGTGTGCTTGATTTCACTGAGTAATTTAGTTGGGATTATCATTCAATCAGTAAACGTTTTGCAACTGAAGCTGAAGGAAAATTCATGTTTAATCTAGTTCATGAACTGCATTGAATGTGCAGTTTTAATGTTTTGTTAATATTTATTGTAATTCCCTGAATAAACCATTTCATAAATGCTCATCAGTTTTTTATTCTACAGCATAACTGGTCCTGATCGGTAGCTGCTACTTTAACTTGGTAGTCGGGCTTGCGTATCACGATGACCTGATAACCTAAACTGGGGGAACACTTATTCCCTCGAGGCCCTACCATACCGGAAAGATTTCTTCGATAGGGGCTAGACAGAAAACAGTTACCCTTAACATGTTCTTGAGCAAAGAGATGATGCATTATGTTGGCTTAGACCAGTCATCGGTGATTGGTGGTGATCCAAAACCACAAGGCGTATGTCTGACTATATCTTCCACAATACAGCTCAATTGTCGTAGCACCAACAAGGCCGTACATGACTGATCTCTAGTAGGTGTCCCCTGGGCTCTATGATTACACACTAACCCTTCTTTTTCAGGTAAATCAAGAAGACCTAGCCTTCCACATTATGACCCGCCCCCACAACTCTGTCAGAGCACAATTTCCCCCAAACCACTATCCACCCCGCCCCCCTTAATCTTTACCGTTTATTTCTCCTTCCCGTCTCTCAGTTAACAATCCTGTATCATCTTTAGTTTCTTCTAACTCTACTGATTCTGACAACGATCTGAGTCTCCTTAAATCACGCTCCTAATTGCACATTGGAGCATTCGATGTCTACATCCTCTGTCAAATTGGCCAACAAGCTTCATTGGTCAAAACTCTAGGAACTCAGGCCATGGATGTGCACTGTGTTCTTGAAACACGCATACACGACTCAAGTGAGGTTATTCACTCAACCTCTCCTGGCTAGTATGTTGAATCCACAAAATTCCCGTGGCATGGCACGTTGAGGTACAAGGGTTGGATTGGTATATGTAGTACATATCCAAACTATTTTGGCCGACTAAGGTTCTTAACCTCACCAATCGACCTACGTGTCTTACCTGACTTCAACATTGTTCACACGATGACTCCATCAAATGCGATCCATGCTACGAAGACATCTGTCATGAAAATTCGGTAGTTGCTTCATATCTTCTACTTTACGTGTCTATATCTCACAGTCGTACAACAGGAGAGAACGGACTACAGCGAACTATACTCGTCCTTTGATAGACAGTTGGATATCTCTCCAGCCAGCGGTGGATATGACACAAGTTAGCAGATACCAAACTAGCTTCAATCTGACAAGAGTATTTAACTTCATCAATTGAGAGAGACTTTGTAGGAGTCTTTAACTGTTGGACAGTGTTGACCAAGCACACTATGCTACTACCAACAAATTTCCTTATTTGGTCGTGTTAAGACCTACAGAGAGCTGCCATCTTATGAAACACACTACTAGTGAACAACATAAGTAGTCGAAAGCCACTCATGCTGATCAGCAGATGTCGCCTAGCCAGGCTTGAGTGTGAAGACCCCTCTAACCTCCCCAACTACTCATATTGTTTACTAGCAGTTTGTTTCTTTAGTTAATAACCCTTTTATATCATAGATCAACTTTGATGTAGACATACTGATTTAGGTCACTCTGATACCTCCGATTTTTAAGGAATTACCCTGTGATAGACCGATGGTAGAAAACAAACGGCATATTCCTGTCAGATGAAAATACTGACTAAATAGCCAGTCCTTTGAACGTTCTTAGTGAAGCAATAGAATATGTCGATCACTTCACTTACCTGGGGAGTTGCATCAACCCCAACAGACTGATGGATTGCCGACGAAATCTCAGGTCTGATACATAAGATCCGTTTGACATGTGCCAACCTGCGTCATCTTTGACTTCAACTGACGAAATATACGAATATCTATCAAAGAACGAGTATACTCCGCCACAGTTTTTTTTTGTCCTGTTGTACGGCTATCAGACATGGTCGTTTAAAGTAGGAAGACATGAAGCGGTTACAGTGGAATCACCGAGTAAACAATTTTGAGGTCAGGGGAAGGGTGATATCCAAGATAAGTAAGTCGATTGACGGAGTTGTGAAGCGTAGTCAACTGAGATGGCCCAGAAACATGCCAAGCCATCGCCTTTTTCGACGTGCCATGCTGGAGGAAGCTGGATTAGGTTAGAAGATGGTTGAGGCCGGTCAGACTAAGACCTCACAGCAGTCAATGAAGTTACTGACTGTAAGCCTGAGTTGTGTGGAGAAATGTCAAGTGCCTGGTTGGCTTAATGAATACTGACTTGAAATCAATCAGTCCTATTAATTGTCTTGAAGCAATAGTCACATATGCTTCTTTTTGATGTGCGTTGGGGAGCACTTCTAAGTATGGGGTTATTGGTTCATTGTGAATAACCAATGTGCTTGTTTTCTTCTCTATCCCTCTCTTTCAGCACTGCAGTCAAACTAGTCTAGGTGTTGTTAATCAGTTTATCCCTCCAGCTCCATGTCCACCTATTCCTATTAATCAACAACCAATTGTGTATAGTAATCCTCCGATAGTTGGACTGTCTCAATTTGCTGTTCCTTCAGTAAGTAATACATTATTATTATTATTGTTATCGTTATTATTATCAACACTATTATTGTCATTTTGACTATCTAAGATAGCAGCGGTGGTTTGTCAGACTAGTTTTAGTGATACTGGGCGATGACTGAAGGTGAAATGAGAATTCGAACCAGTGACCACCGGGTTTCCGGTCCGATGCTCTACCAACTGAGCTACGAGGTTCTAATGCTGACGAGATTTTTCTTCATTATTCCACTTCAATCACTAAGGATTTTGCCTGACGACTGCAGTGTGAATTTTTTTGATGCGTTACTATCGCTTGATCATGCTCACACTGGTTGCTTATTCAGGACTTCTCATCCATAACTCGTTATTATCACCATTATTACCATTATTATTACTATTATTACTACTACTATTCTTCGTATCACTATTACCATTATTTATTATTATTACTACTATTATTATCGTCATTATTATTACTATTATTTTTATCGCTATTACTATCATTACTATTGCTATTACCGTTATTATTACTATTATTACTATTACCATTACTGTTATTACCATCATTACCGTTACTATTGTTGTTGCTGTTATCATTATAATTATTATTGTCATTATTATTATTATTGGTGTGCATCGGAAGTGTAGTTACCAATGCAAAACCGAATGACTTTAGTTTTCTCTGTCATCTTGAAAGGTATTTTTTGTTTCAGCAAAGAGATCTAATTGATCATTTCAACAGTTGCTGTAGTAGCTAGACTCTAAAGTCAACCAAAAAAATCAGTGACGAATCGAATGACCCTGTAGAAGCATCATCAGATCCTCTAAATACGGTAAAACAATTACACAGAATGGTTTTGTAACACATGCTCCTCATCTAAGGATTACGTGAGTTATAGTGTAGTATTTCAAGTTGTTATTCATCGTAGACTGACATCAGTTGGAGGAACAAAGAAAACCTGGGGGCACTGGACAGCTGTTTCGTCCGACTAGTATGGGACTCCTCAGTAGTGCGCACCCACGACCTCGCCAGGGATCGAACCCGCGACCTCCAGGTTCCGCGGCCACCACGTCACCATTGAGCTAGCCACTGGGTCAGAATCCAATGGTCGAAATTTCCAAATTCTGATGGTTCGATCCCTGGCGGGGTCGTGGGTGCACACTGCTGAGGAGTTCCATACTAGGACGAAACAGCTGTCCAGTGCTCTCAGGTTTCCTTTGTTCCTCCAAATAATGTCAGTCTTCGATGAATAACAACTTGAAATATTTCCAAATCTCCAAAACTCCCTCAAAAAAAACATAGTGTAGTAAACGACAAGACGGAGACGAAGGAAGGAGTGTTTATCATTGACATTTTGTACAGTAGTCGTTAAATATGGTACACCTTCCACTGAGACAGTCATTCACACAATGTGCTTCATTTCCTCTTCTGCTTCTCTCTTGATTTGCTCTTAATACGCCTACAATGTCTCTTGCGTTTCTCTGAGCGGAACCTTTACCCAATGCTGGTAATTTCCTATGATTTCTGTCGCCCTTTCAACATATACCACTTATATCCATTTTTATCATCAACGCCTACTACAATAGCTGTGAACACAGATTCACACAAACCCACATACGTATGAAAGTACTGTGTTAGCCATTGCGATGTATACAGGAATAACCAACAGGATTTTAGTGACTCATTGTTCTGGTACCATGCGTCTGAATAGTTCTAGAGGGGCTAGTTAAGCATTCAGATATAACTCAACAATTCAGTTGTATGATAAATGCTCACTGAAAATTCATTATTTTCTAGTCCATTTGTTGGCTAGCAGTGGAATCCACAATGCATATTTCATCCTATTTGGAACTTACTCGTCAAGTGGGTGTACCTGCATCCTAGTGACTAGTGATATTGTTCCCACGGAGACTTGAACGTCGTACCCATCGCTTCAAACACCAAAGCGTAGTCCACTAGGCCACAATATCACTCACTGAGATACAGGTGCATCCAACTGATGAGTCCTAAATAAGGCAGAACGTTTACCTTCCACCCAGTATAGCAACAGGAAATTACAAGTACCAATGAACAATCATTATGTTCATTTCTAAATCCACATACTAGAATGTTATATCATATTTATGTTCTAATTTTTTCTAGCTTCACATATTAGCAACAAGCAAATGGTCGAAAGACAGAATTTTCTCGTATACTTTAACCCATAAGAATATAAATGGAGACGTTAGTGAATGATGATATTGAAGTTTTTACACGTAAAACCTCTATAGCAGACTGAATATCACACATGTGTTTTTATCAAGATTAGAATGGCTGCCGCGTTCAGATAAGTGCTTCATTATGCACACTTGACATTTCCATCTCCCATTCCAGGTACTCAGAAGTTAGCTACTGGCCAGTAACAAGTGATTATTCGAATAAAGTCGTAAGAGGTGGGTGCTCACTGCTGAGGAGTCCCATACTAGGACGAAACAGCTGTCCAGTGCTCTCGGGTTTCCTTTGTTCCTCCAAATAATGTCAGTCTACGATGAATAACAACTTGAAATATTCCCAAATCTCCACAACTCCCTCAAAATTATATCTGAATATTTTGCTTTAATTGGTTAAATTCATAGCTTTTAATAGAACTCATCCTTTATGTCATCTAAACTGCCGTCATTCGGCAGAGACTACGATTAGGTGTCGACGAGTGTCATTCCCTTTTTTTACTATTCTTTCATATCCTTAAAGTCGGACAGCGTATTAATAGCTATTAACTGGAATTGTGCAGATAATTCCGCTTTCTGCTCTTCAACCTAATTCTATTCCTACATCAGCCACCAGTTCACGAGAGCTAAGCATTGAATCTCTGGACACTCTTAAATTCGGTTTTGAAGATTCGTCACATTCCCGAGTTACCTGAAGTAAATAACCATACTTGGGTCCTGTATGTGTGTCTCAGAAACACAGCATGCATCCATGACTTGAGATTGCGGAACTGTGGTAAGTGAAGCCTCTTGTCTGACTTGAATGTTGTAGGCTCCAACTGAAAATTGATAATGTGGTTTTGGAAGACTAGAAATTATGGTGTTCAGCAGTCTTTGATCATTAAAAATGGTCACATGGTGAGAAGTTGGGGTTGGCTGTGAGAGGAAGGCAGTTGAGTTTTTTAGACTCCTGGAAGCATGCGAGTGGCCAATACTACTTGACTTCCTACATCATAGAAGAATTTTCTGCGGGGTACTTTCAAGACAAAATGGATCACTAATAGTGATGTCTGGTCACAGACCCAATAGAGATTTGACTTTTGTCGAACTAACGCAGGACAACCAAATCCCATACCATTGGCTTCGGAATACCGCAGTCCGATGGACGGTATCGTATTTTTTTCATGTCAAAGTTTTGTAAACACCCTGACTTCCCATAAGTAGGACAAAATTAGCATGGACTGCTGGTTATTCATGGAGAACCCGTTACTGATGATACACGCCCCATCCAGTCAGTAGGATGACTTCTTCCTCGAATGCCCATCACAGCATAGGCTGTTTGCACTATAATGATAACTACTTCTTGTCCTGTCACTATACAATATATATTTCTAGGACTGTATAGTCCCGAGAATTATCGTTCGAGTCAGCACAGTTCTTCGGCCGTACCATAGCGTCAAGGTATCAGCTTTCAGTCGGGGCGAATCCTGATGAACAGTGGAAGCAATGTTGGCTTGTTATTTTTCACATTTCACAGTTGCCTGTATAAGAAAGAGGTGAATTTCTCGAAGCTCTGATTAGAAATCTCATGATCAAGCAATTTGGAACTGAGATGGATACCCATTGATAACATTCTGTGATGATCACACTGTATCACAAATTGACAAAAGAAGGAATAAGTTGACCATTGAATTCCAACACAATATCTGGATGGTAACGTGCTCACCGTAAAACCTGACAGTCGTGGGCTCGACTTCTAACAAGGTGTTTTGTACTCACTGCTAGCTAGTTCTCACATTAAGACAGAATATATACTCAATGCTATCACTGTTATACTGATTCTGTAACTTATGTCAATCCTTATTGAAAATTGTTTCCAAATAAATAATTCCCTTAAAAAAAAAATTAAAGATGGAAGTGATAGGAAACACCCTAAATCGAAATCAGCATTCAAGGTCATCAGCCGCCAAGGTAGAAGTTTTCAATAGTAACCTTTGTTTTATATGGACGAAAAAAGCTTATTGAACAAATTTTGTCCATCAGCTGACCAATCAAAATCAGTATCCAACTTGTGACCTGGTGGTTTCATTTTCTGAGGAAAAATTGTATATAAATATTGTCATAGGTTGGTCTTTATTTTCTAATTTTCGTGGCTCAGTAAAATATCAGGTCTGAGAGAGAACAGTCACTGCTTGTATCTAGGCTCAAGTATCGCATTGCGTTATTATCGTTTTGCATCGAATTTATTATTATTCTTATTTGTCCCTTGGGTTCCTAGTGGAACATAGGGCTTCAGTAGCACATCTGCATTCCACTTTCTTCTCTGCAAACTTTTGAACCTGGTTCCACGACTGCCCACAAGCTCTCATTTCCTCCCCACACAACCTCCTCCATGTCACCCGCAGCTGGGACGCCCAACTCATCGTTTCCCCTTTGAATTCCATTCGACGGCCTGGTCTGGCGCATCACTTCCCCAATAGGCCTTCTCAGTGTACGTCCTATTCAATCCACCTCCACTCTCTTCTTCTGCATACTTGTTGAGTGATAGGTTGTTGGTTGGTTCGTTGCCAGCCAGTCAGAATTCCTTGTTACTTGTTCTTGTTATTCTGGCCATCCGATGTTTAGTATAGAGTGAGCGTAGGTGGCATCTGTTGATGATGTATGTTTGTAGTTTGTTGGAAATACTTTTCTTGACAACGCCTAGATTGTGAAGCAGATAGTAGCACTGACTTGACTGAATTGGTGTTGAAGATCCGGATGTTATTCTTTGTGTTGAGAGCGGTAGATTCCCACACTGATTTCAGATTGATGCAGGAAGGCGTGTCTTGTTGTCTTTCCTATCCTGGCTGGCATTGACATTGTCGTGTGTGCGGCCGCCTGTATTTAAAACGATGCTGCATCGTAGGTAGGTGAAAGACTACTTCCTTTAGGTTTCTCCCGTTAATGGTGATTGGAGCATGTTGTTGTTGTTGTTGGTCGTGTTGGTTTGGTATCATCATCACCTCTGTCTTCTCTACGTTCACTTGAAGTCCCGTTTTCGCTGTCCTGTCTCTTCTGTCAACTTGTTAGTTTTCGCCTATAGATCTTCGAGTTTGTGCGACATTCGATATAAATCATCATCGGTGAAATCCAAATGTTCTAGGATCTTTTCATCGGTCAAACAGCGTATGCTCATCTTCTCACTCCTCACTGTTTGCTGCATGATCCAGTCGACCACAATGAGGAAGATGATCTATGATAGTGGGCAGCCTTGTCTTAATCCTGTCCCCTGTCTTCACTTCAAAGGCGTCCCTGAGCTTTTCATTGTGAATCACTTGACACGTGGCTTCATCAATAGCATATAGTTGTTGAATGAGATTGATAAAGGATTGTGGCACTCTGTAGTGTTGAGGCAGCTACCAAATCAGTTCTCGGTTGACGCCTCGATCGAAGGCTTCTTCAAAGTCGATGAAGTTGAAGTAGAGATTCAGTTGACTGACATTCTGTGCTCTGTTCTATGATGATGTGTAGCATGGCGTTGCAATTTGACCCGCACATGATTTGTTCTTCCTGAAGTCGGCCAGCCAGCCAGTTCCAGTCGTAATTTTGAATGAAGAGCATCTTTTCGTCTCTCCAGGATGATGCGGCTTGATATTGTGCTTGGGACGGACAGAGATGGAGCATGATTCCGCGTCGGTTCTTGCAAGGACATAGGTCTCCCTTCTTTGAAAGTTTGACAAGTTATCCCTTCCTTTAATGTGCAGGTACCTTTCCTTCCTTGCAAGCCTTCTGCAATAGTAGTGTGAGCATGTTCGCTGATGTCTCTGCGTTTGTTTTCAGTACTTCTAGAGGAATTTCATCTGGCTGGGCTGCTTTCTGGATTTCAATAGCTTTATGACCTTCAGGACTTCTGCTTTTTTCGAAGGGCTCGTGTTCACCGGTAGTTCTGCCGTTGCTGGTGGTAGTTCTGGACGAGTTGTAGTTGGTGGGGTGGTGGTCGATTCAAGAGCTTTTTGAAGTGATCAGCCCATTGTTTCTCCTCTTTAGTAACTAAGTTTCCTTCACTATCTTTCAATGATTTCATCTGCGATGATCTTTTTCCGGGTATTATGTTGTCAGATCTCTCCTACCTGCAGTCTGTTCTGTTCTACTTGCCAATGTGTCGTAGAAGTGTCTTTTGTCTTTCCGTGCATTCTTCTTCACTTCTTTGTTTCACATCATTTCAGCAACTGTCTACAGGCTGTTATACAAATCTTGCTATGTATAGATCTTTTTTAGGATGAGTTAGGCATCTCACCAATAGCTTACAGACTGAAAGTTGAATGGTTATCCATCTGTTCTTGATTGATTTTTTTCCCTTTTCTTTTCCCCTAGGATAATAGTATGAATCAGTGTTCAACAAATGTATACTCAGATACAGTTGACTCTTTTCTATCTCAAAACAATACAGAAATCTTGGATAATCTTAAGTCTAAGACATTTAATCAATCTGGTGATTGTGAAAAAGTTGACTATACTAGGACATCAGTAAATACTAATATTCAACAACAACAACCTGAGGAACCTTTAGATTATGTAGTTGATGGAGATGTTGATGATGATGTTGACATGGGAATTGAAGATGTTGAACAAGATGATGATGATGATAATGATGATGATGAAAACAATGATGGTGATTTAATCGATGGTCAAATAAACGATGAAGATGGTTTGTATACACGATGTCCAAAATGTTTTAATCGTTGTAATACATGTGGAAATGTATTATTTTGTTTCTCATCATGCAGTCCATTGGAAACATTTATGCAAGATTTATTATCACCGAAATTATTGTCAAGTTTAACATTTCTATTCTTTCTTTTATCAAGTATGACAGCTATGCTAGGTAAGCTGGGAAGGTAGATATAATAAAGGATGGGTTTACTTGCTTTTTATTAGCTATTTATTTAATCTGATGTGTTATATACACCTGTAAAATATCCTATACTGTGGACATAATCATCATCAACAACAACATAGAACCAGGCATTACTCGTATTGATACACATTCCCACAATGATATCAATTCTTAGCCATATCACCTACAGTCAGTTTCCAACCACTGGTTTTCCTTGTTACATGGATTCAAACCGGTAAGTCTGCTGTATCACCCTACATGATCCGAACAAACAGTCAAGAACGTCATGCATTGATGCCATGTTACACTCTGGACATTCTGAGCCCCTTTCCAGCCTGAACTTACTTTGGTCAACATTGTGCTACGAAGCAGATGGTGGTTAGGCATACGGAACACATATTCCAGCCAGTCATTTCAGTCGACAAAAGTTCATAACTTCATCAACTAACTTACTTCACCTGCCTAAAACTCTATACCTTACTTCTGCATTATTCACGTGGTGATATCGTAAAACATGGCCTGGACTACGAAGATGAGGTTGGTCAAACACCTGAAGATTCCTTATGTCTTGTCTTCTACTTTTGATGCCCAGGTTTCACAGCCATAGAATAGAACAGAGTGAACTACTACAGAATACACTTGCCCCTTAATAGACAATGGGATATCATGGTGGCGCCACAGGTGGTTGTAACTTGACAAAAGCCAACCAAGCCTTTTGCATCGATGCAGAGGTTTCATCGGCCGCTGAGCCGCCAAGGCAGGGCTGATCCCGCTTCCCAGGTAAGTGAAGTGTTCAATGCACTCAACAACTTCACTCTCTATTATTAGCTGGGGCACCGTTGAAGACCAGTCCTGGAGCAACAGTTTGCACTTGTTTGGCAAAAAATACATGCGTCACAAACATTTTCAAATTTTAAGTCAAGGTGCCCACAAGACCTTGCGTCTCGTAGGCATCTTCCCCTAACAGGACTGTATCATCTGCATATTCTAGCTTTACCGAATTTCTCCTGTGGTCAGATAACGAGAGGTAGACCTCAACAAGAACATCTACGATGTAACTGAATGAGAACGGAGAGAATGGTTATCCTTGACGGACACCACTCGACGTACATAAGTCACCCGACGTCTCACTATAGGCTGCAACATCCCCACACGTGTTCCAGTAAACAGTCTTCAATTGGGTGATATACTTACTCGGTACCCTTTTCAATGGGAGACATTGCCACAAGACTTTATGATCAATAGAGTTGAATACCACCATCAGGTCGAGAGATACAGCTATTGTCAGACATCGGTAAGCGTGCCTGTGTTCCACAACCTTGTAGAGTATGGACATTTTGTCGATACACCCGCTGACGTCCAGGTGTGAAGTGTGTTTGGTTTTCTCGGCTTACTGTTCCCTAGCTCCACTTAGGTGGCTAATGATTATAGAACCTAGAATCGTAGACAATATGTTCGTCAGACTGAATCCTCCGTGGTTACCACAAGTGGACTTCTCGTCTTTCTTGAAGACTGGAATAATCAGTGATTGAGATTAGTCAGAAGGGATCAATATTCTTTTCAGGATCCAACTGGATGGCGGGCGACGCAATAGTAGCTGGAGGCCAGTTGAACTGTCTCTCTAAGTGTTCTATTCATCGTTCTAGTTGTCTCCCTTGTGAGTTAATCCCAGACCCCATTCTTCTCTCCTGTAGTCACACTTACCGTTGACCTTTTCGCCCTAGTTTCCTTAATAAGTCTAAATAATTGTCTACTGTCACCTGTTGCCTCTGCCTTTTCCCTCTCTTTAGACTTCACTGCCCACTTTTGTCAGTCTGCATTTGAGTAGTGTTTACATGCATCCATTAGTTCAGAAGAAGTTGCTGATATTCACTGGCTCTTTTTAAACACTGTTTGAGAGTTGGCTACGATCTTCAACGCTGTCTTTACAGCAGACTGGAGATGTCACCAAGGTTCTTATGAATGATTGATAGTGTTCTGTTCTGATAATTGTCTAGCCAGTTTCTCACTGCAAGAGGCCTTAGTGCTTTCATTGTCGAGCTGCATTCATAATGATTTCATCATTTATCCCGATGAATCCTGTCAGCATCATATTGTCAAATAAACCTCTTGATCTTGGATCAGATGGTTTACCCAATAACTCGAAATATAACCTAACAATTATGCTACCTGACTATAGTTTTCTACACACTCTTCATTATTTGAATGCAAGTTGCATTCAGTGCTCGAATTTATTATTTCTCGTTGGTGATTTGGAGCGAATCAATTGGCATCAATTGATATATGGGTGGATTGTGTAGGATCCAGGCAAATCTAATTAATATGTCCCGATATCCAGAACGGTTTTTATTTGCCAAATATTTCTTATTCTTTTAAGTCACCGATATAATGTGAAACATAAAACCATAAATTAGCGTATTATAACATTCAAATGGTATTGTTGTTAGGCTAAGGTGATAGGAAAATGTAGATTTTCATCAATTTCGTTGATATACATTTTGCACCTAACACTACTGTTGATATGAATAGTCAACTGTGTTTATACGTGGAGATTAAAAAGCTTGAATTTATTATTCTTATTTGTCCCTTGGGTTCCTAGTGGAACATAGGGCTTCAGTAGCACATCTGCATTCCACTTTCTTCTCTGCAAACTTTTGAACCTGGCGCCACGACTGCCCACAAGCTCTCATTTCCTCCCCACACGACCTCCTCCATGTCGCCCGCAGCTGGGACGCCCAACTCATCGTTTCCCCTTTGGATTCCACTCGATGGCCTGGTCTGGCGCATCACTTCCCCAATAGGCCTTCTCAGTGTACGTCCTATTCAATCCACCTCCACTCTCTTCTTCTGCATACTTGTTGAGTGATAGGTTGTTGGTTGGTTCGTTGCCAGCCAGTCAGAGTTCCTTGTTACTTGTTCTTATTATTCTGGCCATCCGATGTTTAGTATGGAGTGAGCGTAGATGGCATCTGTTGATGATGTATGTCTGTAGTTTGTTGGAAATACTTTTCTTGACAACGCCTAGATTGTGAAGCAGATAGTAGCACTGACTTGACTGAATTGGTGTTGAAGATCCGGATGTTATTCTTTGTGTTGAGTGCGGCAGATCCCCACACTGATTTCAGATTGATGCAGGAAGGCGTGTCTTGTTGTCTTTCCTATCCTGGCTGGCATTGACATTGTCGTGTGTGCGGCCGCCTGTATTTAAAACGATGCTGCATCGTAGGTAGGTGAAAGACTACTTCTTTTAGGTTTCTCCCGTTAATGGTGATTGGAGCATGTTGCTGTTGTTGTTGTTGGTCGTGTTGGTTTGGTATCATCATCACCTCTGTCTTCTCTACGTTCACTTGAAGTCCCGTTTTCGCTGTCCTATCTCTTCTGTCAACTTGTTGGATTTTGCCTGTAGGTTTTCAAGTTTGTGTGACATTCGACATAAGTCATCACTGGCGAAATCCAAATCTTCTAGGGTCCAGCGTATCCCCCTTCTTCTCACTCCTCACTGTTTGTCGCATGATCCACTCCACTAAAATCAGGAAGATAATCTATGATAGTGGGTAGCCTTGTCTTACTCCTGTCTTCACTTCAAAATCATCACTGAGTTCCCCATTTTGAATTACTTGGCACGTGGCTTCTTCATATAGTTGTTGAATGAGATTGATAAAGGTTTGTGACACGAAAACCGTAGTGTTGAAGCAACCGCCAAATTACTTGTGTGTCGATGCTGTCGAAGGTTTTTTCAAAGTTGATAAGTTGAGGTAGAGATTCAGTTGACTGTCATTTTATACTCTGTTCTATGATGATGCGTAGAGTGGCGTTACAGTTTGGTCCGCATTTGATTTGTACTTCCTGAATAAAAAGCTTGAATACGTTTATGATATCGCTAATTTGTGAATTTTTATCAATGAAGTTGTAGACCTGAAGCGTTGAACACTTCACTTACCCGGGAAGTTCAATCAGCCGTAGTGCGTTGGTCAGTGGTCAACGAAATCTTTACACGGATATAAAAGGTTCGCTTGACCTTTATCAACTTGCTCAATCTGTGGCACCGCTGCGATATCTGGTTTTCTATCAAGGGTCGAGTGTATTGTTCTGCAGTTCGCTCTGTTCTATTCCATAGCTGTGAAGCATGAGAATTAAAATTATAAGGAATAAAACGACTTCAGGTGTTTGATTGATCGGCACTGCCTCCGTAGCCTAGGCCATGTTTTACGGTGTTACCACGTGAATAATGCAGAAGTCAGGTGTACAGTTTTAGGCAGGAGAGGTAAGTCAGTTGATGTGGTTGTTAACCTTCATCAGCTAAGATGGTTGGCTGGGACATGTGTTACGCATATCTAACCAATATCTGCCTCGTCGCGTAACGTTGGCTGAATTGAGTTCAGGCTGTAAAAAGGATCGGGATGGCATCAATCTATGAAGTCGTTGACTGTTCTTTTGAGCCATGTAGGACGATGTATACTAGCTGGTTGGGGTGCGTGGGACAAGAGAAATCACTAGTTGGAGACTGACTTTAGATAATATGGCTGAGAATCGATGTTAGTGGCGTAGATTTATCCACACACGTTAGCCTCACCTTAACCGCTATACTTAATCTCATCGTCTTTTTATTCTTTCTTCCTCCCTCTTACTACTTTATACTTGTTCTTCCTTTGACCGAGTTTTCCTTTCTTTTTCATCTTCCATTTTATTCCTTTTTTTACTTGACGTGCTGATATGAGGTGAAGTGTGGCAACTTATATCGTTACGCAGTAATACCTGGTCGTATGTTGATCTTCATGATGATAATGTACCTGAAACAGTTTTCAGTTAGCTGAGACGTTTGTTTGTTTTGATAATATATTGATACCTTTGCTGTACATGAACATCCAGATCGAATAGACCATTTTATGCTTCTAAGGATCACGTTCTATAAAGCAACATCAGAAGTTACATTCCCACTATAACCAAGAATAAGGATAAGTGCATGGTCGATTGATTTCTTATAGATCCTGGAATTCTCGTGCGCACTATCAGTGGGAATCAATGTTTTCGATGATAACTCCCAGACGCATGCTTATTCACTTTCAATACCATCGAAACAAATGCATCACATGAATAGGTATTCTCCTCTCATAAGTATGCGACTACAGGACTCTATTTCGGAACGAAAAACGGACACCTACTCACCACCGGCTATATAAGGTCACTTAGGGTTCGACTGGGGCATATTTTACCTAGTAAGCGCTCACAAGTGACATCTTCTCAACTTCTTCTTATGACACCTGTATTCCATTTATTCTTCCATCCTTTACTTCTTTCTTTTATAGGATTGGTTATTCCCTTTCTCATGTTGCCTGATCTACTAGCTGAAATGAATATGAAACTCGAAGATTCTGGTTTTATTATATCATCAATTGGTGCAGGAAACACATTTGGACGATTATTTGCTAGTAAGTCCTCCTCTTCTTCTCTTCTAGACAATCTCTTGTGTGTAGTATAATTGTTTTTATATGATACCGTCGTTGATTGGACTGAATTGGTCGGTCTTTATTGGCATATGGGCTCCTGTGTTGATGCCTCGATATTGCCAGTGTTTTAATTATGTTAATGATGGACCGTGGCTAGTAGTTGAATCCGGGATGTGCATTTTGTCCTATTTGGTACTCACTGGTCAGCTGGATGTATCTGCTTCCCAGTGAGTGATTCTGTTCCCACCGGGATTCGGACTCGGGAGCGATCGCTGCAAACGCCAGGGCGTAATCCACTACACCATCGAGCCACACTGGCAATATCGAGGCATCCGCATAGGATCCCATATGCCAATAAAGACCGATCAATTCAGTCCAACCAACGACGGTATCATATAAAAACCCTTATACTAAAAACTATACCCGTCGCACAAGAAGTGGTTATTGTGGCCTGATGGTGTAGTGGATAATGAGCTGGCGTTTTGAAGCGATCGCTCCCGAGTCCGAATTCCGGTGGGAACAACACTCACTGGGAAGCAGGTACATCCAGCTGACTGGTGAGTCCCAAACAGGACGAAATGCGCATCCTGGATTCCACTGCTAGCCACGATCCATCATTAATCTCTTGTATGTATTATTTTATTCAATCTGTTTACGTTAAACATTGAGAACTCTATCTAATTTGATCATTAGATGAAATATTGAAATTACCTAACATTATCTATTGTTTTATGAATGCTCTGGCGTTTTCAAACCTATGGATACTAATGGGTCCCATTGGGAATAACATCATTAATCACTGGGAGAGTTGCGTAGGTACATCCGGCTGACTAGTGAGTCTCATGTAGGGCAAAACATACGTCCTCAACTCCACTGCTAGTCACGAAGATAAATATTTAACGCCTAGTTACGTTTCACGAGGGGTAATAGAATATGAGTTACTCTATTTCTGTTTGTTTGTCTTTTGATATGCTTACAGTGTACAGGTAATAGCAATATATTGTTGATTGCTATGTATTGACTAGTCTCGTCAACTCGAATATTCTCTTACGTAGCATTTCAGTGATCTTTTCAACAACAAAATAGAGCATCCTTGTGGGCGTGTTAGAGCCTATGGTGAGGTGTCCGGAGAGCTGTGCTCATTAAGTGGTGTTCGTCAAGGGTGCCCACTGTCTTCATTCTTGTTCACTTTTATCATAGATATTCTTATGGAGGTCTCCCTAGAATATGTAGATGACATAGTCGTGTTAGGTGAAGACGCTGACAAGACGCAGAGTCTTCTGGACACTTTGAGTGGCAATTTAATAATGTTTGGGATGTGTTTCTCACCACCCAAGTGTAAATTGTTGCTCAAGGACTGGTCTTCAGCGGTTCCACGGCTAACAATAGAGAGTGTAGTGATTGAGTGTGTCTACCACTCCACTCACCTGCGAAGTAGGATCAGCCCTGCCCTGGTGGCTCAGTGACTGATGAAATCTCTGCACCAATACTAAAGGCTCGGCTGGCTTTCACCAAATTACGCCACCTATGGCGCCACCCTGATATCTGATTGTCTACTAAGGGTCATGTGTACTGCACAGCAGTCTGCTCTGTTCTACTCTATGGCTGTGAAACATGACCATTGAAGGTGGAAGACATGAGAAGGCGACTTCAGGTGTTTGACCACCATTGCCTTCGTAGTATAGGACGTATTCCGTGATGTCACTATGTGAGTAATGCAGAAGTCAGGTGTAGAGTTTTAGGGAGGGAGAAGAGGTAAGTTAGTTGACTAGGTTGTGAACCTTGATCGACTGAGATGGTTGGGACACGTGTTACATATGCTTAGTCGCAGTGTTCCTCGTGACACAATGTTGGTCGAAGTGAGTTCAGGCTGAAAAAACGTTCAAGGCAGCCAGAGTAAAACACGGCATTAGTGGATGAAGTCGTTGACTGTTTATTTGAGCCATGTGGGGTGATGCAGATTAGGTGGTTGGGGTCCGTGGGATAAGAGAAGCCAGTTGTTGGAGACTGTATGTGATATGGCTGAGAACTGATGTCAATGATGCAGATGTATACACGTATTATCCTCAGGTTCTATGGCCAGCACGTTACCATCGAGCTAGCCACTGGGTCGGTGGAATCCAATGGTCTATTTTTCCACCTTCTGCCAGTTCACGATATAGTGCGACCTACATCCAATATCATCGTTAAGTAACTATCGTCATGTTCGACTCGGTTAACTCCACTGGTCACTACTTCTCATTGGAACTTTGGAAATCCCCTCTGTCTAACTTTTTTATATAGTGAATTGGTATATTGACTTCTAGACTTTTAGTTTCTATGTATTTACATAAGAAACAAATATACTGTGTAAATGGGACATCTGTGTAGATCGAACTGACATCCACATAGAGCATTCGTTTCCCAGACACATTGAGGCTACGTATTGCACTGATGAAGTCAAATAATAAACCAAGTGAAGTGTATCTGTAAGTTTAGTTTCTCACTAGTTGAACAGTTCTAATCAACCACTTACCAATCCCATGATATGGGTTCCGTGCTTCTTGGCATTCGTCAGCAGGGCGTATCTGCAACCTCGATGAAACTGATGTCCGTCTGAGGTTCGAACCCACGTTACCAAGTGCTGTAGTCAAAGATGTTACTAGTGAGCTATTCGAGCCATGACTGACCTCTTGTAGGATGGGATTAGGCACGTGTTTGTTGTCATTCGTCAGCAAGGCGTATCTGCAACCTTGACAGAACTAATGTCCCACCTAAGGTCTAGGGTTTCCTGTCGATTTCCTTCATCCAATTAACATCTATCAAAGTGAATTGTGATGTTGAGTCAACTAGCCTAGTGGCCACATTGTAAAATACTCCATGGAATTCAATCAGCACTTAGGACTACATGACATGAAGTTGGTTACTCTCCAGTGATTAATCAGCATCCTTTTTGTGTACCTTCGACAAGCCATAGAGTCATGGGATTACAGAGTTTGCAGATACGCCTTGATGATGAATAGTAGGAAGCATGAAGCCTAGATGGAGCAATTTTGGCTTCTTTCTGATTGCCTCCAGTCAATTAGCCACTATCAGATGATGGCTTGAATTTTGTCAGGGGGAACGAGATTTCAACTTCAGTCAGTCATCCACTGACAATTGTAAGTTGGATACTTCATTTAGCTTAAATTGCATATTTCTTTACAATTACTATGACAATAAAATTTTTGTCAATAAACCATTCATTATCTATTTTATTTCTTTTCTTTGCATTGAACACAGCTTTTTACATTGAAAAAGGTGAGTATATATGTATATTTTCTTATATCTGTATACATTTATTATGCTATTGGTTGTATTGTGTTCTCTGGATAAGATTTCATCGTCTTTTTAGGCAGCGACATCATCAGTCATCATCACCAATATCAACATAAGACCAGGCATTACTGTGTAACGGTCCGACTTGCCACAGCTCATATCAGTACATCAAGTAGAAAGGTAGTGAGGTGAAAGATGAAGATAAAATTCAGTCAAAAGAAATATAGACTACGAGAAGAAAGAAAGGACAAAATGACAAAACGGTGAGAATCGGTATGGTGATAAGATGAGGATAATGTGTGTGGGGATGCATATGCGCCGCTGACATCGGTTCTGACGCATATCACCTAGAGTCTCTAGCCACTGCCTCCTCTTGTCCCGCGGACCCCCAACCACCTAGTCTACATCGCCGCACATGGCTCAAACCAACAGTCAGAGACTTCATGCATTGGCACCATGTTTTAGTCTGGCGACCTCGGGCCTTTTTCTAGTCTGGGCCTACTTTAGCCAACTTTGTGTGATGAGGTAATCAGTGATTAGGTATACGTAGTATGTGTCGCAACCATCTCAGTCGATGAAGGTTCATAACCTCGTCAACTGACATCATCAGTATGTAGTGAGCTGTCAATATCTCTCCATGAGTGATAGACGGTAGCTTACCCTGACCAACTGGTTTGTGATTGGTTGTTTCCTTCGATTGTTGTATCATTAACAAACTGTATAGATTTCCCTGTTGGTTGTTTCTCTACCTGACCTCTGATATAACCTTGTTATTGCTTGTCATTTTTCTCATTGTTTTATAGTTCTACTTCATATGTTTGACTCCTGATAGTTTCAATCGTTACATAACCTTTCAAGATACAACTGTAGGAGTACGGGATAGTTGTATTAGCGAATGTTTAGTGTAGTGTACCTTTTTTGGTTGTATTTGTATTCTCTGATCTGGGTTGTTTAGTCGAGTTTTCCCTGTTGTTAACGTTGTCATGTGCTGCGTCGTGAGTATGCTTTCTAGTTTTCTCTTTTGATTGTTAATCATGAATTTGTATTTGTGGATCCGATGATGTGCATCTGTGATCATCAATAGTACCATTTGTCTCCCATTTTGTCCAGCTATTCTCTATCCCATTTGATAGTCAATTGTTGGTCTATATCTGACAGTCTTCGGGAGAACATGATGACGTAGGCACTCATGGAGAAAGATTGGTTGTTCTTTTGTGGAAGCGTGTTACGCTCGTATGATTTTGAAATGGTGGAGAATATTTGTAGTTCAGATGTATGGTCTTGGTTGCAATGTATTCTCTCAGCTGGGTTCTCTAGTCTAAACAACTATTCTTTCTCCATGAGTGCCTACGTCATCATGTTCTCCCGAAGACTGTCAGATATAGACCAACAATTGACTATCAAATGGGATGGAAAATATCTGAACAAAGTGGAAGATAAATGGTACAATTGATGATCACAGATGCACATCATCGGATCCACAAATACCAATTCGTGATTAATAATCAGAAGGGAAAACTAGAAAGCATACTCACGACGCAGCATATGACAACGTTAACAACAGGGAAAACTCAACTAAACAACCCAGATCAGAGAATACAATACAACCAAGACTATCCACCTGAGCTACAAATATTCTCCACCATACATTATACTCTTTGATTTTGTTTATATACGACATCAAAACAACGATTTACCTCTTAGAAATTGTCTTCTCATGTCTTCAATATTTTATATGGTACACCTTAGTTTACATCGTCAGTATATAGTAGTTAATCTATTGGTCTACACTTAGAGTATCTCTTCCGACTGATTGGACTGTTGTTTTTGATAAAGTTATTCGTCAATAGTAACCTGCTGATCACAGAATCCGAAGGTCCTGCGTTCGACTCCTGATGAGGTAGGGTCATTGGGTATGCACTGTTGCAAACAAACACCTGTCTGGTGCTTCCAGATTTTCAATCCTGAGATTATCAATCCCTGATGAATGCTACCCAGAAATCCAGAAGTCCTTAAAAAACCTCCGGACTTAGCCTGATTTATTGATTTTTGGTGTCTCGCTCCTTCAGTGTGATATTTTTGGGTTACATGTATAATAGATAATAATAAGGTCGGGAAATTGAGAGATGAGGAGGAGGTAAAAATAGTAGGTCCGCCAACTAAACATCTACCACAATACATGCTATATTAATTGAAACTAAACTAGGCTTAGATAATGTTAACTGTGATTAGTTCACGGTAAACTGCCATTTCATAAGGTTTCACAATGATAATTGGAACTGTGTAACGAAGTTTGTAGTCTTCATTTGATTTATTTCGAAAAATAAGTGAAATGAATAACCGTAGGCTTGATTTGATCTGGTACAGAAGTGAGTTTACATTGTGTAGATCCATCCATCTCTGATAGTCTCATTGTCATCGCTTGATTCCCTTACTATTTTCTCTTCTCTTTATCGTTGAGTTCTTTCAAAGTCATTGATATATTGTCTGCAGTTCTATCTTCCTATTTGTCAACTTCACCAAAATATACTCTTGTCAAATTTAGGAAATTGGATACTTAAGTATCTAGAGTCTCTGTGTATGAAGGTGTAAATAGCGCATATCTCTATGGTGAGTCAGTAATTCAATTCAGCTATTCTTACCCAATTTCCTATTAATCAACCTTTAAAGACTTATCACAACGTTTGTGTTTTACCACCTGCAATCTAAATTCAAAATACCGTATCATGTCGAAGAACAATCTTGTTTAGTTTACTGACTTACTTCATAATACAAACATAGAGACGAAATCAGCGTAGGACTTCACATGTATATGTTTACATCGGTCCAGATTGCCGCAATTCACAGTGGTATACAATGGTGCTATGACCGGTAGTACGATCTAACACTCTACGAGCAATATGAGCCTAACAGACTACGAACAGTATGAACCTAACGCGCAAACGAATACACTCTAACACAAATCACAACGTCAACCACCACCACCACCACAACAACAACAACAACAATGACACCGACGAGCAAAGACAAGAGGAGAAGACATATTGTTGACAGAGAGCTCTCCAATATCTCAACAACAGTCAATAGCGTTGACAGGGATGCTGAATATATACATTTCGAAGTGACCTTGACGACACTGAGTCCCTATATGGTTTACAACCAATGAGAGTTGAGCCTTGAGAACAGAGGGTCGGAAAGCTAGTAACGGTGTGAAAACAGCTATGTATGTTATTTTTAAGGTCATTGGCAAAGTAGCAGGCGAAAGTTCTGCAAAATTAGGGGTACGTAGCAAAATAGCGGGTGAATATAATAAGTCTCATATGAAATTAGGCAAAATTGTGTGAAAGAATAAACAATTCGGAGATAAAGGTTAGTGCGAATATTCAAACTTTAGAAGATGTTAAGAAGTAAATACATTTGCGTCATTGTGACTAATTTACAGCCATATCACCAGAAATCATTAACTATTGATTCCTATCGTCTCAGAGACCCCAACCAGGTAGTCTACATCTCCCCTCACTGCTTAAGTCAACAGTCAGGAAATTCATCGACTGATGCTACGTGTTGGTCTCACCCCTTTGAACCCTTTCCCAACCTCATCCAACTTCAACTAGTATGGCACGTCGAGATAGGTAGAGTGGTTCGGCATCCACAATACATGTCCAAGCCACTTCAGGCGATAAAGGTTCCCAATCTCATCAATCGATTTGCCTATCTTGCTACGTAGTACCCTTCACCTGATCTCAACATTGTTCACACGATGATTCCATCAAATGTGAGCAGTGATACGAAGACATCTGTAAGTATAATTCTGTAACCACTTTATGTCTCCTACTTTCAACGTTCATATCTCATTCCTGTACAACAGGATAGAACGAAATGCAGCCCAGCATACTCGTCCTTGGATAGGCAGTTGGATACCTTATACCACCCCCCTTAAACTAACTGTAAACTGGAATCATTTTCGTTAAAATTCAACTATTTCTTTTAATTAACTATTTAAAAGTGATTTAATCAACCGGAAAATGCCATATACTTTAGCTTAAATCCATTGAATTTTTCTTATCATCTAGCCTTTTCTCTCGATACATCATAAATCGATAATTTCAGTGGTTGAAAATAAGAAAATAAACGTGCTTTATAGTAGTCAAGTTTAAATGTTTAACTGTGGTACTAATAATCCATAATTCATCATAAGATCTAACCTGTTATACTACTTATAAATGCTGTTAGTAAGACGTTGACTATCCATTCCCATTGTTCCATTAAATAGAGCGATATCTGTTGACGACTAGCGACTTTAATGATAAGTTATGCCTGATTATGTTTGATACTGATAATTTGATGTTGATCTACATAGAGTCGAATTGCTTGACCTCTGTTGGCAGATGGGCTTCTACGTGGGATGCATCAGTGCTGGGTACGAGTCTCACTAATCACTGGAGTACAGTTGACGAGTTAATCCTAAATAGGACAAAACGCACGTCTTGGATCCCATTGCTAGTCGCTAAGATGAATATAACCATAGTTTTTTTTCTCAACTTACTTGATCACTAACTTATTATAGGCTTAGGGAATCATTATTGGAGTATACTGTTGCTCCAGGATTGGTCTTCAGTGGTCCCACGGCTAACAATAGAGAGTGTAGTGATTGAGTGTGTCTACTACTCCACTCACCTGGGAAGTAGGATCAGCCCTGCCCTGGTGGCTCAGTGACTGATGAAATCTCTGCACCAATACTAAAGGCTCGGTTGGCTTCCACCAAATTACGCCACATATGGCGCCACCCTGATATCTGATTGTCTACTAAGGGTCATGTGTACTGCACAGCAGTCCGCTCTGTTCTACTCTATGGCTGTGAAACATGGCCATTGAAGGTGGAAGACATGAGAAGGCGACTTCAGGTGTTTGACCACCATTGCCTTCGTAGTATAGGACGTATTCCGTGATGTCACTATGTGAGTAATGCAGAAGTCAGGTGT